ATCAACTCTATCTATTTATGAAGCCTCAATAGTTCAACATGGATGTCAGGAAAAGACCCACGCCACCCTAAAATGACTAAACTGAAAAGAAAATTGTAGTCCTCTAGAATGCAAGGCGACTTACCAAAAGCTAACTGGATTGCAAAGTGATCTCAACGAAGCGTCTGTTGGTGATCCTAAACACCTGTATCTACATCATATAAGTACATTAAATGTTCGAGTATATAATAAAATGAATGAATAAATAATTGAACTGATAAGGCTGAAGAACTACTCACCTCAACTCATCTAACTCAACTCAAAGCATAAGCAAAAGATAGAATGTTGAAAGCTTTACAAGTAAAATAGCTAACTCAAGAATGTAAAAGAAAATACGAGATTATCTAACCGACAACCATCACTATGAGCAACATGATGATACAACGTCTCGCCCATGCTGCCAGAACTGTCCAATAATTTGTCGGGATATAGAACACCTCAACTAAGTGGATCCACTAAAGTTCTGCTTGAAAGCAACAAAGAGTCGTCTAAAAAGTATGATCTTTTACCCATGTTGGTTACATGATTTATGAGGATTTTCAGTTGTCTGAACTCATCCTCATATCGGTGCTCAATACATGAACATACTCATGCCAAATGTATAAAACATACTCTTTCTCAATTTGAGATAATTGCTCAAATTATCCTCTTAAAAGAGGTAACTGCTCGGAATTATATTTGAAAATTATTTATGAAAAACAAAGATTCTCTTTATTAATGTAAAAGTAATACATTTGGGAATCAATTAGTTCCTTTAAACTTTACTCAAAAAGCTCTCTTTAAACTCTACAAAACTCTTCTTTGCTTTCTCAGAAAATCAGTTTAAGACAATTGTTTGGTTAAAAAAATTCTCAATAATAACTCTATGAAGACTTAAATACTAGGGTTCATGCTGAATAATAGTAATGAACAATCAACTCAAGAATCTCAATGCTTAGCATATAGTGACTCAAAAATTAGGAATATAAACTCAAAATTCAACAACTTATCTCAAGAATTATCAAAATTAAGGATGTAACCCTAGATTATCTCCTACTGATAGAAAGTAGATGTGGGGCATGAGGACTAACTTAATCCTTCACTATGCATATTCTTACATACCAGCGGAAAGAACAAAGTTCTTGGCAAAACTGTAAGAACGCTTGAAAACCTAGTTTTTTCTCCTCTTTGAACCTTTCTTTAATGACTTGAAGTGTTAATGAATGTATAAGAACTAATTAACACTATATAAACCCTTAACTAGGTGTAAAAATTCAGGGTTTAGGCTTAGAAGAGGTGGAAAACGACTAAACTGCCCCTCTTAAAAGCTAACAAAAACCTTTAATGGGTCCATCTACGGATCGTGGCTTGTTCTACAGACCATAGATCCCATCCATGGAATTTATATTGAATTTTACGGCTTAAATTTTATTCTATGGGTCCAATCTACGCCATGTTGAAGTTTCTACGGCCCGTAGAATGGATTTGTAGGAATTGTACCCCAAAAATCAAACTCTTTGAAGTTTTTGACGAGTTGACAGTAAGGATCGTCGAAATTTTGATGGCATGTAGCAAGGATTCGTAGGATTTGATTCAGGAAACTCTGTTGCGGTAGTATCTAGTAAAATAGTCATAATTTCTTACTCTGAACTCCAAATGACGCAAACTTGGTGGTGTTGGAAAGAGGAATCAAAGGCCTTTAATTTCGTACCTCTTGCTCCACCTAATTCATTATGTGGTGAGAGATATGATCATTTTAAGTTGACCTAAGTAGATTTTATGTCAAAATCTAATCGGTAAGGAAGCTTTCAACTCGACTTTGTGCTAGGGGAGACCTTAATTCATATCCAAATTCAGTACACTACCTAGATATAGGTATATAGTGGCAAACATAGAAAGTAAACAAAGTAAAACAGAGTTATAATAAAAAGGTAGCAACTTCGTTAACGTTGCAAGTTCCAGTTCTTTCGGATTTCATCTATTCTTATTTATGTTCTATTACATAGCAACCTACAAATTGGCTTCCATGGTAGAAAACACTATTAATGTTTGTTTCACACTCTTCCAGAAAACAGTTCCTCTGGCCAACATGAAAACATAACATGATGTTGATCTCCTACTATTAAGACATCCAACAAATTATATATATTTGTGTGGTAGTAAATCACTAGGGAATTTGGTCGTGCTTCGCGCAGTTATAAAATATGTATGTAAATTTATTTAAGAAAATGATTATGATACAAGAAATAAAAAGATCAACTATAGAAATAAGAAAATGATAAAATCACAATACAAATATTTTTGTAGAATTGGAGCTTAAATGAATTACATTTTTATTATCAAATAATTTTCAAAATTAAAAAGGCTAATTTATTAAGAAAAAAATATGTATATTATAATGTTTTATACATATAATTCGAATAAACATATTTAAGGACTTGGATTTTTTTTCTTATTTTTGTTAAATAATAAATTTATTGTCCAATGAATCTTCCTTTTATTCAAAAAAAAAAAGTGATGAAACTAAATATAGGAGGAAAAAGAGATAAGTATTTCTATTTCATTTCTTCTTTAATATTTAATTCTTTCATTCTCCTTATTTTTTTCTTATTTTTCATCATCGTCTAAATAATATTTTCTTTTATTCTTACTCATTATCTAAATATATATCTTATAGTATTTTTTGGTAATTCTTTAAAAGTAGAAGAAATGAACAAATTTAAAGAAAATGTAATGGATCTTCACCATAAGAAACACCTAAGAACTACGTATTTCAATATTTAATATGCTTTTCTTTTGAGCCATGAGTAGTAAATTTGAACGTCTGTTGGCGTAGTTAACACCATGTTCTAACAAAGTTACAAATAACTAATTTGAGCTAAATAAAAATGCAATTTACTACAATTAAAACATTTATAAGAACCTAAATTTTAAAAAATTACTGTATAGAGAGAACATATGAAAAAAGCAAAAAGAGAAAAATAACAACACAACTTTGTCAAGTCCTTAATCACAAAAATAAAGATAAATATATATATAATCAATGCAAATATTTTTGAGCTTTTATCCGACTCCTCTTCTATCCACATTAAAGAGTCTTTTCATGGAGGCAAACCGAAGTATAAATCTGATACTACAACAATAATATAGAATATTCACTATTTCAAATATGGAATAAAAATAATAATCTTGAGTAAGAATCTTATGAAACAAAAAAATAGGATTTATATATATATATATATATATATATACACACACACACACACAAAATTGAAATAGTTGGGGGTTACAAATATGAATTTAAAGAAAATGAGTTAATAATATTAATTACAGTAGAAGTTGAATAGATATAACTTATGGACGTAAAAAATTTAAAATAAATGAAAGAAAAAAAAATTCATGAACTATTCAACGTTTGTTGGGTGTTTAAGATGTATTAGGAAAGCAAGCAAATCAAATTCATTTTTTTTTGGTATTACTCCATTGTGTTTAACAAAATTGAAAGAGGAAAAAAATACAATAAAAAAGAGACAAATATCTTGAAAGATTAAAGTAGTAAATATTGAGTGTAAATAATTTTTGAGACATTTAAGTATAACAATATATAGAGGAGTAGTATTTGATATATTTATTTTTTATACAGTAATAAGTAAGTAAAAAAATATGAAAAATTATTTAAAAATTGAGGAAAAAAGACAAATAGAATCCTTGCCCAAAGAGAGGTGCAACTTCACATTTCTAACATGTAGCATACATTATATATAGATTTTAAAGCACAACAATATCAATAGCTATGAGAAATGTACCATAGTTAATATAGCTTTCAAGCATGGAAATTTTTTAGGATATTGAAATCAAAACAATACATTAATGAATCTCTAAAATATTGGAAACATTCAAACTTTATATTAATATGATCATCTCTCTTGATAAATCTTTCAACATAATTAAGCTTCCTTCTTCATTTGGATGAACTTGTACTAAACTAATGTGAGCATCTCTTTGTAATGAATCTTTGAAGAATATATCTTTGATCTTCATCATAGTGAAGGACATATCATGTCATTATCTTTTCTATGATTTCTTATGGAAAAGATGAAGAATAAAAAAAAATTTAAAAGAAGAGAAAAAAACTACACTAAACTAATAGAAAGAAAGAATGAGAAAATGAATATTCAACATCTCCATGGATGATTGTTATTTATAGATTTGATAATCCATAGAATAGTTAGAAAGGATTTGAAGAGGCATGTTATTTTTTTTGAAATTGTTAACGTTGTCTTTTCCTCAAAAGTCAGTACTAAAACTGTACTGGTCAGTATTTACAACATGTACTTCAAATCTCACTATTTTTTACTAAATTGAGTCTAGTACATCAATTATGGAGATAGTATCATTTGAGTATAATTGATTACACCAAAAACATAGTAGCATAAGACAATTTAGTTTGACATTTTGCATACTATTCTCAACACTATCAAAAGCTCTAGAGTTCCTTTCCTTCCATATTGCCCACCATATAGTAGCTGGGACAATTCTCCATCTGTCTTTATTCTTGGATTGCTTTCCTACTTCCTCTCAACTCTGGATTGCTTCTGTGATCTTGGCAGGTTGGACAATGATCTTGCAGTGTAGAAAGAGATGATTGAAGAGGCTTGTTATTTAAGTAGAGAATATGAATTGATGGAGGTTTTTTGTAACTCATTAGATATAATTAGAAATAGTAAATATGATTGAATTTCTTATTTAATAAATAAAATATTTAATGAAAAGATTTAAGAAAAAAATCTCAAAAAAGGAGAAAAAGGATAAATATTAATGGATGCAATAGAGAGGTGTCACATTACCTTGTCTATTTTTCTCCTTTTTTTTTAATCAAATTTTATGGACCCATAGTCCCTTTATTGCTCATTAATCCAATATTATACAATTTGAGAGAGTCTAATAGATTAGCAGCTAGGTAATGCTAAAAAAAAACATTACTAAAAAGCTAAGTAAATAAGGCATTCTAAACTTGTCCTTATCCGGTCCCTAAAAATAGGGAATCCTAAATCATTCGTTCTTCTTCTCAGTTTCCTAATTCTGGCGCATCCATGTTTCCATCTCTCCACTCAACCTCTTTGTTCTTTATCCTCATTTAGGTGATCTCCTTCCTTGGTTGACAGAGTGATATTTTCCCTCAAAGGTAATCCCCCTTATCCTCGTGTGTCTTCCTCTTGCTTTGTGTCTAACATTTCTATTTATGTAGATGTGAATCCGGTGGAATATTGGGTGAACTTTTGTTGGGATTGAACCATGGTACTCCTTCTAAAAGCTCGAGGAAGCTCTATTACTGCTGATTCGGTTTGGCATCCCCCATTTTTTCTAGTCCTTATTTGTAAACTGTAATAGCTTAGGCTAGGAGGCTTAGTCATTGCTGGGTAGCTTCCATACAAGCATGACTGTAATGTGTAAATATAACAGATGTGGCTTTCTGAGTTCTTCATTTGTATTAGCATGCTTGCACTATTCTTTTGGTCTTGATACGCAATGATGGTATTTGCCGCTTGTCTACATTGATGATTTTCTTTCCTCTACTAGATAGATTATAGAAGCTCTGTGCCTTTATTGTCTCTACTTGCTCTGTACCTATATTTGCTAGATAATCCGCTAAGGAGTTTGCTTCTCGGAATATATACTTGATCTTAACTTGTTTCACTGTTATGGCCTTTTGTATCTCTTCTATCTTTTCTGCTTGCTCCCAAGGAGTTTTCCATTTCTTGGTTAATATGTTCTTTAGCGTCAAAGAGTTTGTTTCTAGGATGATCTTCTCAAAGCTTTGTGTCAAACAATACTGCATCGCCCTCCACACTCCCATTACTTCAACTTCCATATTTGTGGCTATCCTAATATGTTGTGCTTTTGCATACAGTAGGTCTCCTCTGCAATCCCATATAATGAATCCATATGAGCTCTATCCTGGGTTTCCTCTGCAAGCTCCATCAGTATTGCATTTGATCCAATCTCTGTCCGGAGGTTCCAGTGCACTTTTAAATAATGCAATGTTGGCTTATACGTATTCAATGTGTGAATGATCTACTGCCAGTCCAGCTTAGTTCTCCTTATCCATGGATATTTCTCATTGAGTAGCATTTGTATTGTCTGTTGACACTGCCCCACCATCTTAGCATAGGCCACCTCTTTGCCATGTCTTCTATTGTTTCTTCTCTTCCATAGTTCCCACAAGATTATTGCTGGTATCGCCTTATAAATTTGCCTCAACTTATGTTGTCCTGGCCACTCCCACCATGTTGTAATTAGTTGTTGCAAATGTAATCCTTGAATGCTTATACCTGCACAAGTAGCAAAATGCCTCCATAGTTGTTGGGCTATAGGCGCAATTAGAAAAAGGTGTTGTATAGGGTGTGTTTGGTATGAAGGAAAATGTTTTTCATGGAAAATGTTTTCCTGGAAAACAAGTTGATTTTTGACTTATTTTCTCATGTTTGGTTGGTGAGTAGAAAATATTTTCCGAAAAAGATTTTCAGTGTTTGATTTATGAATAATTTTTTTTTTTTGAGAAATATCTTTTATTTTTAATAAGGTAGAAAATAATGTTTGAAATTGAAAATATCTTTTAAAAACAAACATAAATTTTTTT